GGGCCAAGGACAAGACGTGGTCCCAAAGTCAAATACCCACGACTACTGTTAAAGCCTCATGCGGTCCTCAGTGGCTGGATTTGGAGTATGTGATGCTGGGATCCAAGATGTGTGATTACTAAATTAGCCCATCGATTGGTTTGGCATAGTTCTGGGTAGGATTAAGGGTACCCCACCCTTGGTTGTAAGTGCTGTCTGTTCTCTGAGTTGGTAGCCTTGATGAAATATAAGGGACAGAAAGAAGCTGCTATTGCCACTTGTCACTAGTCTCTTGTCACTTGCTTGCCACTTGCTGCCATCTGTCTGCCCTGATTTGCATGAACTGTTTCTCCTCCGTAATACGTGTGTGCCATGCCACCCTGTCTTGGAGCCAGCCAACTATGAACTAAAACCTCTATGAAATGTGAGCTAAGTAACCGTTTCCTCCCTTAACTTTGGGAGTCTGGTGTTTTGTCTTTGTTACAAGAAAAGTAACAAAGAAATCCACCCAGACACATCCTGAAGTGTGCTGTAGTAATCTCTCAGGTAAGCTGACAATCAACATTAATCATCAGAGCTCTCAGCTGGTGTCAAATTAGAAAACATATTTCTTGGCCTGCAGGCACCAGAATCGGGGGAAAAAAAATTCTGGGATTTACTTGGATTATTAACTGACTTAGCTTACCAAAGAAAGCTAAGACTAAGACAGGAATGGAAAACTAAGGAGCTAACTGGTTTTCATAGCACGCTCCCAGAGAGCTTCAAGGATTTTGACTTTGAAGTCAAATCCTGCGATATGAATCGAGAATTGTGACTATGAATGATTTCAGGATGAAGGGAAAATATCAAAACAATAAATTAAATTTTTTTTGCCTACTGGAAGAAATGAAAAAATAAGAAACAAAGGCAAATTGATTCTCAGACATATAAGGCACCAATTTTATGGGGGAAAAATAAAGCCCTTGGTAGGGGTATTGCTCAGTGGTACAATAATGATACAAGTGCTGAACGTGTGTGAGTCTCTGGGTTCAATCAGAAAGAAAGAAAGAAAGATTATCTGGAATACTGAATAGTTTATCTGGTATGAGAAACTGAAAGTGTAAATGAGCATTAAAAGGTAAAATAATGTGAAATGTAAGATAATGTGAAATAGTAAGAAAAGGTCCAAAGGGTAAAGGGAAGGGGAAGTGGGAGGAGTAGGGGAAAGGAAAGAAGGGAATGGAATTAACACGAGAAAATGAAAAAAATGGAAACAACATGTTTATAAATAGGGAGGGGTGCAGGGAGGAAAGGGGTATGGGGGAAAATATGAACCAAATATATCACGTAAAGGTGCAAATCCCCAATGATGAATGTTATCACACTGTATACTTAAATATACCAATAAACTTAATGAATAAAAAACACATGAGTGATGCTAGGTAAGATTTCTAGATTTTGTTAGAACGGTCCAACATTCCAGAATGGTCCAGAATGGTCCAGAAGGTAAACAAAATTTGACCTTCTTCCTTCAAACCACAGGCACAAGGACAAAATATCTGAAAGCATGTATCAACGAAAGATAAGATAACGCACACCATGCAAAGAGGAACAAAGGGATGAGGGACTCAGGTAGAACCTGGGAGACAGGATGACTAGATGAAAGGAACCAAGGATCTGGATAGAATAATCCAGACAGATTTGAGGACAGGGTTCTGAAGAGGTAACAGAAGCGCAGAGGAACACTTTGGGAATCTGTAAGGTTCATCAAGTCTTCCGCTGAGGGCTGGTTAAAGCATCTGCACGAGGCAGTGTGAAGCCGGGAAAGAGTCACCAAGCACATCAGATGTGACAGTGCCCTGTGCTCGCACACACACACCACTGGGCCGCGTGCCTGCTCCCATTATCTAGGAAACCTCCGGATCTGTAGTGAACTCAGCAGAGTACACACAACTATTTGGCTTTAGTTATGAGTATAAATTAGTCCTAGACTGAGTTTGCTCTGGTTCTAATTAGCAACCCTTAAAAACAAGAACAAAAGGACTGAATCATTTTTGTAAGTAACCAAACACATGGCTTGAGGGTGTAACTCAGTGATAAAATGTTGTTTAGTGTGGGTGAGGCCTGGGTTTGATCCTCACTACCACCCCCTAAGGAGAAAAATAACTTTCCCTCATCACAGAAGAAAGACTAAGAACATAGTCGTTTTACAAGATCCCAATGATGAATGTAACTGTACTGTATACCTAAAATGTACCACTAAACTCAATAAAAAAAAGAACACAGTCTTTTATAGCAATAAAAGCATAGCCAGCAGTCAACAATACAATGAATTAAAAATGGTCATGAAAAGAAAGAGGAAGAAAAAGATTCTTACTGTGGTTAAAAAAAAGCATTCAAAATTGACTCAGAACTAACTGACTTAGACTTTAGAATAGACAAAGACAAAGACATTAAAATACATGCCAACTGTATCCACATATTTGTAAAGTTATGGACAGGCAGGGAAGATATAAAAAAAATCGAAATCATATTTTTTAAAATGAAAAACAAAATATCTAGGATGAAATTATATATTCAGAGAGACGAACAGATTATACATTATAGAATCAGAGATTAGTAAACTTGAAGATATAAGAAGGTAAAAAACGAAGAGAAAGTACACTCAGGAATCAGATGATTCAACATGGAAGAAAGATGAAACTTCCAGGGTAATGTAAAACCAAGTCCTAGTGAATGCATATAACAAGCTTAGAGAATTGCTAATTGAGGTCCATCAAAAAGAAACACAATTATTTCAAGTTCATAAAATTATACTGAATATGTGAACATTAAATTAAGAAAAAACAAAGAAAATAAGCCAGTTACTACATCTAGTGGAAAAAAATGACAGCAGTTATACAAGAATTAAGTATATAGTTGTAATACTACCTTTTTTCATTATAAGATTTTAAAGTCCTACATTGGAATAGGAAAAGATTTCAGAAAACCTCAGTTGCACAAGAACTAGCACAAAGAATCAATAAGTGGGATCTCTTCTCATTAAAAAGCTTCTGCACAAGAGAAACCAGCAACAGTGTAGAGACATCCCACAATGAGGGAGAAAATTTTTACCAGCTGTTCCTCAGACAAAGATCTACTATTTAGAATACATATTCAGCTTTAAAAAAATCAGACTTACCAAATTTAAAGACCCAATCCAAAAAGGGGAATCTGAAATGAACAGACATTTCTCAGACAAAGAAGTGTAAATAGCAAATAAATATATGAGATACTGTTCAACATCATTGGTCCTTTGAGAGATGCAAATGAAAACAACACTGAAATTTTACCTCACCCCAGAAAGAATGGCTGCTATGAAGAAATAGACCAAAAATAAATGATGGTAATATTGTGGGGAAAAAGGAACACTTCTCTACTGTTGGTTGGACTGCAGACTGGTGCAACCACTTTGGAAATCAGTATGAAGAAACCTCAAAGAACTGGAATTAGAGGTTGCGTTTGACCCAGTTATACCCCTGCTGGGTATCTTCCCAAAAGAATTAAAAGAATCATACCACAGCGATATATGTACATCCATGTTCATAGTGGCACTGTTTGTAATAGCTAAAACTTGGAAACAGCCCAATTGCCTATTAAGTGGTGACTGGAAAAAGAAAATGCATTTTAAAAAAATGGAATACTACTCAGCCATAAAGAATGAGAAATTAGAGACATTTGTAGCTAAATGGATACACATTGAGGCCATATTCTTAAGTGAAATAAATAGGACACACATATGTAAATACCAAATAGTTTCTCTGATGTGAGAAACTGAAAGTGTAAATAAGGGTCAAAATGTATAATAGATAATATGAGATAGGAAGAAACATTCAAAGGGCAAGAGGAAGTGGGAGGGGTGGGTTATAGGAAAGAAGGGAATGGATTTAGTGTGAGAAAATGAAGAAATGGAAACAAAGCCTTTAAAAATAGGGGTAGAGAGGTTGAAGGGAGGGAGGGCAGAGATAAGAATCAAGATATATTGTTTAAAGGCACAAATCTCCAATGATGAATAGCATTTTGCTGTACACTTAAAGCTTACTAATACATTAATTTTTAAAAAGATTTTAAAGTTTATAATATGAACACTGATCACTAATTTCACAAAATTCTTCTCATTATACTAATATGTAAATGAATATATATTTGCATTTAATACTTTTATGTATAGCACCAAAATGAATGGCAAAATTTATGCTAAGAATTTGTTTTTAATTTTTCTTGACACAAAAAAACCGTCAAATAACAAATAAAAACAAAATGCCAAAATAAGTTTTAAAAGACCATAAAAGAAATAAAAATATATTTAATCTTCCATGACAGCATTTTTTTCTATTAGCAGAAAGTTCCTTCATTTTCATTTTTCTCTGGGGCCCCTCAGTAATGATGCTGACCTATGAATCGAGTGGGTGCCATAGGTGGGGAAAGGCAGTACGTGTGTTTTCCATGCAATTCCAAGAGATTTTTAAAGTGAGATATATATATATACAGATTGCTTTGCGGGGAATGAAAATCTATATTAAAATAATAATAGCAATGTGTTCAACTAGCCAGTGGAAGGCAGAGCTTGTTTTACAGAGTGGTCATGTATACAAATGAGGCAAGTTGATGGGTACAGTTAATTTTGCTAACCGAAATAGCTTGAATAGGACAGAACAGAAAGTTGGGGCGTGACTAGTGAATAGACAGAGAACGGTACAGAACAGATGGGGAGCTGTTAGATAGGTCAGATTTTACACCGAGCAGATTTAGTTTTACAGGAGTGATAGATTCTAGAGGGAGAGATGCTTTGCATTCTTGGGGTTTTCTTTTTCCTTTTCTGGGCCAGGGATCAAACTCAGGGCTCAGTGTGGAGCTACATGAGTGCCCTATCACTTGAATACACCCCCAGTCCAAAAGGTCCACTTTTTGATGCTGAGCTATCTCTCGTATTTGTAATAACATTAACAGAAATTGAGACATTTAAATATAATGCACAAGTAAGTCATACATTACTGCATTAAGATTTACTTTATTGTGATGTGGATGACTATCGATGTGATTAGATTTTACCACAATGCTTTCAGGATCAAACAGGAAAAAAAAAGAAAAAGAGGAGCATTTGAAGAAATACATTTTTCGCAGGTGATTATTTTTATTTTCTTCACCTAGAAGCTTTCTAGAGTTACTTTATAAAGAAGTGATAAGGAAAACGTTTGGATCCTTGTCCAATATCATACTCTTTCAAATATCACGTTGACTTACAGAAAAGGGATTTTATTTCTACTGTGTCACGGCTTGCAGAATCTTTAAAAGAGGAACGACCCTTGCCTAACAGCAGCAGTACTGTCTTCTCTTCAGGGAGTGGGGAGGGACTAAGCAGAGCATTGCATAACCCCATTGAGTAAATCCTTTGGACCTAGGTAAAAAATTTAGAGATGATAAATTACTGTATAGGCAAAGGCATTGCTACATTTCCTTTAGAGAGTTGAAGGTGGTAAAATCACTTATGAACCTCAAAGGAACAGAAAAAAATGCAAACATCCTCTAATGCTTTCACAAAAATGTGCCCAAAAATGTATTTAAAAAATTAAACTATTGTTGCAGTTTGAAAGCATGAAAATTGTATAAACTACAAATAGAAAATGGAAGAGATGACACAGAATCACAAGTTGGTGATTTGTCCTTTATTAACTGGCAAAAACTCTTTGATCAAATGAATTCTGTTGACAGAGACTTTTTGTAGCAGATGGAAACTCTTATCTGGAAGCTATGAAACAGAAAAAAACTCTTCGTAAAGATTACTATGACTGTTAGTTTCCCTGTATTATGCAAGGTTAGGGATTTGAAACTCACAAAACTGTACTACATAAAAGATCCAATGAGGGCCGGGGATTTAACTCAGTGGTTCCACAGTCTGTCTAGTAAGTGCAAGATCCAGAATTCGATCCCTGGTACCAAAAAAGTTCCAATAAAATATGTACTCCAGCATATGGTAATATATTGCCATTATTGCCATCAAATACCACATTTGTAGTAAATATTGCTGTCCATTCAGAAGTTACAGTAACTGGTTTGGTGCATTTTTCTAGTCAAATTATTTTGTACCACATGAATTTCACTTGACAGATATATCCAGTTTAACCTGGGTCTTTCCCCTATGAGTTCACAGTTCTTAAAATCCACATATGTTGATTTAATACCAACAGGCTGTGGAAAAGATAAAGAAACTTTTCATGGTTTAAAAAAGAAAGGAAGAAAAAAATAGAAGACCTAAGGCGAAACTGTCAGTATCTTGTTAAAATTCATGCATCTTTAGGAAAATCTAATTATATCATATTTTAGCCATGTTTTTTAGGGGGAGTTTTTCTTTTGCATTCATTAACTTAATTGGCACAGTAGAAGGTTGAAGCGGCCTTTCACCTTTACATATGGGTTTGCGGTTTTAGCAGCAGCCTTTCAAAAAGTTAAACAATTTAATTGAATTTCAAGATATGTAAGGTTCTTCAGAAAAGATATTATAAACCATTCATGTAAGAATATTCTTCATAGTTTGCTAAAGGAAGGGTATGGAACAATGTACAGTAGTTCTCTTTTACCCAAGACCCCTAGTGCATACCTGAATCCTTAGATAGTACCAAATCCTATATGTGCTGAGCTTTTCCTATACATACATTATTAGGACAAAATTTAACTTACAGAGTAGGATTAATAGTGAAAATTAAAATAGTGGAATAATTATAACACTACACTGTAATGAAAGCTACGTGAATATGGTGTCTTTCTCGAATATCTTATTAGGGTGCTGTCATCAACATCTTGTGATGATGTGGAAAGCTAAGGTGCCCAAGTGACCTGATGAGGTTGGAGGAAGGGCCAAGGCACTGGGCCTAGTGTTAGGCTACTATGCAAGGATTACCAGAACATAAGCCATACCGGGAGAGCCCACCTGGCATCAGAGTAGAATATTACTGGATTAATGTACAGGTCAGCATGCAGCGTGGAGAAACTGGAAAGACTCATTTCCTGGGTGAGTGGGATGTCGCAAAACTCCATCGCACTCATCAGAATGGTGAACAATTTTGCAATTTATTGTTTATTTCTAGGATTTTCTGTTTAGCATTTCCATACTGATTTATACAGAAATCGCAGATAAAGGGGAAACGCTCTAATGAATATTTTATTTTATTTTTTTCAGCTTTATGAGTTTATTTAATTTTGCAATTTATTGTTTATTTCTAGGATTTTCTGTTTAGCATTTCCATACTGATTTATACAGAAATCGCAGATAAAGGGGAAACGCTCTAATGAATATTTTATTTTATTTTTTTCAGCTTTAATTGAGTTTATTGGTACATTTTAGGGATACAGTACAGTTACATTCATTGTTGGGATCTTGTACCTCTACATGGCAAGTCTTGATTCTCATTTTTTCCCCTTACCTCTGCCCTCCCTTCACCCCCTCCTCCCTCCCCATCTATAAACACTTTATTTTCATCTTTTCATTATCTCACATTTTTTTATTTTCCAGCTCTAATGAATATTTTATAATCAGATCGTTTATGACAGAGCATTTGGCTAGCAGTGGCCAGGATAATTTGGGAGAGAAAATCATATGGGATTATTGTCTTCTTTCCTGGCCTGTGGAGCACCTGTTGGAAAAGTAGGGTGTATAACGATATATTCTGATGGTATAAATTGACCTCTGTATTGTGCTTCAAATTTAACTTTTAAGTGATCAGAAAAATTCTAATTAAAATGAACAGTAATACACTATATAAGAGAAGATAAGTAGACATGATTATTAGACTTTTATGCATTATTTATAAAACATTTGGGTTCTTTAAACTTTATTAAAGATTTTTAAAATCAAAAATAGAACATCCTCAGAGAAGTAAAAGGAAATAGTCAAAGTAATTTTAAGCCCTTATATTTCTCCTAGGGATAGTAGGGGGAGAGAGAGTATGGATTGGAAGATTGTAGATATGCTTGGGTAATCACATATTTTGCTTTTTAACTGGGTTATTCCTGAATTATTATAAAATATAATGGAGTGTCTCTTTATTCCTACCATGACCCATGGCTCTTTCCTTCTTTCACTCACAAGGATTTAGTAGTTTGGCCAGCTGATGTTTACTTTTCATTGCCCTATAAACCTTGTCACCTTCTAGGGAGCCACTAGTTAAAGAAGAGACTCAGTGCCCCAAGTGGATTTGAGTTTAACCAGCTGAGTAGTAAATACCGATCATTTCTTTGATCATCAGATCTCCATCTCGGTGGGGAAAGTCTAACCCTGTATAATCAGGATGGATACATTACATTCAGCATTCCCCACCTCCGACTCCAGTGATGGCTTCATTCTTTGTGTGTAAATCTTGTCTACAAAGCTTCCATTTCTCTTTAGCTTATTTAAATCCCTTGTTGAAAGCCATTTATTTTACTTTAGATGATAGATTGCATGTGGAAAGAAACAGGACCACGTTAATATATCTGCTGTTCCATGTAGTGGGGGTGAATCTTTTCATCTATTACAAAATGTCACAGCTATCCAAAAGGCATCATAAAAACATACCTAAAGTCTGCTGTAAGAAGAGTCATTAAAATACTAACATTTTGTTTTATTCAAAAGCTCACTAAAACATGAAAACATCACACATGTTCTGTTACCTGCATATGGACACATTTTGCTAATAGGTAAGTATAGTCTTTTTTACTAATGATAGTCACAACTTGTGTGGGGAGTGGAGACCCTCAATCGCATATGATGAGCAAGGTGGAGGGAGTAGCTCGGTGAGGGAGGACTTGCCTAGAAGATGTGAAGCCCCGGGTTTGCTCCTCAGTGTCACAAAAAGTAAAAGTAAAAACACTTTTAAGAAAATCTTCATCTTTCCCCTACCCTTCCCACTTCCTCTACTCTTCTAGACCTTTTTTCCTATTACACAATATTAATTATACATTTTGATCCTTATTTACACTTTTAGTGTTTGTACCAGAGAAACTTTGGTATTTACACATGTGACTTATTTTTTTCACTTAAAAGTATGGCCTCAATGTGCATCCACTGAGCTATAAATGTCTCTAGTTTCTCATTCTCTATGGCTGGAGTAGTGCTCCATTTTATAGAAAAAAACACATCTTCCTTATCCAGTCTTCAGTTGATGGGCAATTGGTTTGTTTCTAAATTTTAGCTGTTATAGACTATGCCACAATAAACAAGGGTGAGCATATACCACTGTGGTATGATACTTTTAATTCTTTTGGGAAGATACCCAGAAGAGGAATAGCAGAGCCAAATGGAACCTCTAATCCTAGTTGTTTGAGGCATCTCCATATTGATTTCCACAGTGGCTGCACCAGTCCACACTCCCACCAACAATGGAGAAGGGTTCCTTTCTCCCCACAACCCCACCAACATTTGTTATTGATTTCTTGATAGAAGCCATTCTTTTCTGCACTCCCACCAAGGGAGAAGGGAACCCTTCTCCCCACAACCCTCATCATATACGCAATCATGTGTAGATGTTGTTTATACATTTTTTCAGAAGCTAATATTTATATTAGCTCAGCTATAGGGCCCAGCTTCAACAATTTCACTTTTTATCTGTAGCTTGGTTCTATTTTAAAATATCTTCATACAGAATGGCAGAATAACATGTTACAATGTGACCCAACGTGTAGCTATCTGTTATGGTTTGGACCCTAAATGTCTTCCAAAGACTTACACGCTAATAGCTTGCTTGCCAGCTGTAGCCCCATGGGGAGATGGTAGAATATTTAGGGAGGCCTAGGGGATGGAGCTGGGCATTAAGTGTGTGCTCTCTGTTTCCCTGTCACCATCCTCCACCACGATGATCCTGTGTGCTGTAGTATGCTACTACTGGTCCAAAGACAACAACAACAAGCCAACCATTAACTAAAAATCTCAAAGGCCATGAGACAGAATAAATCTTTTCTCCTTTTTAGATGATTATCTTAGATATTTTTCATAATAATGAAAACCTGACTAATCCAGCATATACTGTTACACTTTTGAAGTCAATATAGAAAACAAAATAGAAAATATCAGTTAAGATTTAGTTAATAGATAATGAGTCTTCTGATCACCTGTGTTTCACAGCTGTGGCCAACACATAAGATTATCTGATCTTCCCAGGCTCCCTGATGTGTGTGTGTGTGTGTGTGTGTGTGCGTGTGTGTATTTTTTTGTGTGTATTTTGAAGTGATTCGTGGTAAGTAGATTATAGTTTTAAGGGAAAAAAACCATGTGAGAATATAAAGGAAGAACTGCAAAGACAAAATAATTTAAACCAATTGAGTTTTATATTTTAAGGACAAAAATTGCAAATCAGCATCAAATAGATGATCCAATTTAAAAAAATAGGTGTTACTGCAGTTAACACAGCAGGATTCACAAGTGCTCTGAAAGATTTTGTGTATATTGACTCGTGGATGATAATTATTACACAGCTAAGGTTTTCAGATTATTCTCAATGTTCTGTGTCAAAATGAGTCTCATGTTTTGAAACTAATTTAGAATCATTTACAAGTTTTGCACAATGAGGTATTTTGACATAAAAAGAAAAAACACAAACTCGGGGAAGGAAGTTGACAGAGCCCAAACCAAGATGAAACATGATAAAACTATGGAAGAAAGAGAATTTCAGTTTGAGAGTCATAGACATGGACAGCATTTAATAAAATTGCTACCAAGGACTAAAAAACAAACCATACCGCAAATCTCTTTGGGTGGAACACATGTTAGAAATCACTTAAGTAAATATTTGACTTTTAAAAACAGAAAGACAAAAATGGGTACAAAAACTTCATGATTTGTGTTCTCAGCAAGAAAATAGTTGGAAAAGAGCAGAAAATGAATCCGTAGCTCCTTTTAAGGAGTTCAGCTTCTGATTTATTATTTATTTTTTAGGGATGATCTAAAGCAAGATCCATCTTGAGAGTGGAGGAAATGACTCATCAGATACAAGAGCACAGACTGGCTTTGCCAAGCACCACAGCAGCAAGGAGAATTGTGTTGTCTGCCAGCCCCTCTGCTTCTCAGAAGTCCTGGGACAAGGACTGCTCTCTTCTCACTGGATAGCATTTCCTTCTCCTTTTGGGTTTCCTTTTATTATTTTCCTTTCCTTCAATTCACTCATCTTTGATTCTATGTGGTTTCCCCACTTGAGTATGGATTATATCTCACCTGTGCCCTAGTCACACATTTTAAAATCTGTGTGAAGACGCAGTCCCTGACATGAAGAAATCATACACTGAACCAACTGCAGACAAAGCCAAGACAAACCCCAAAATGCACATACTGATGACCCGTGATGTTAGACACTGTTTGCATGCTCCTTGGTTATTTGCTGCTTATTTTGTGGCTATTTGAGAATTTTACCACCTTGTGTACAGCATTTAACATTTTTGGTGTTTTAGTGTACTGTGATTATAAGACTTATGAGATACTTTTGTCAGAAATATTTCCATTTTCTTCATTTTTTTTGTTTTCTCTCTTTTCCTGTTCATTTATTTTTAAAAATTGCTCTTTTTTTTTCCTTCTTTGTATACTCAATAATTTTTTATATTTCATGTGATGTCATTATTGACATTTTAGTTATATATCTCTGTGTTTTTTTGTTGTAGTTGCTAACCAGATTTTATTTCATGAACAATTTATGAACTTTACAATGACATATTTATCACAAAATCACTGACTTCTCTGTTCCTTTTGATGTAAAGTCCTCCTTAACTTATGCTATAAGTAAATATCAAACAAAAAATTACATTTTTCATTTTTATTTAATCAATACTTTTTAAAGAGGTTTAAAAGGCGCACATACATATATCCATAAAATAATTTTTAAAGACTCAGGTTAAACAGTATAATTACCTTTTTCAGGTTCTTTGACCAATCCTTCAGAATCAGGGCTTCAGAAAGAAAGGGATTTCTTTCATTTAAAAATTTTTGACTTGTGCGGCACGTTTAATAGAGATAAATTATTTGGTTTGTATCCAGCTGAAATTATTTCTGCTTTAAAAAAATGATAGAACATTTAAAAATGATAAAAAATTTATATATAATAAATATTGTTTTAGTTATGTAATTGTTGTTCCCTCCTTTTGGTTGAGCTTTGGTGTGGGAATTGAGTCAATCTAAGTAAAAGCTGATGGGGTTAGGGCTTCTTCATAGTTGCTTTTGTTGCCTTCATGTATCATAGCCTTCAAATAAATGCAGTGCTACATCCTATTTAGGGTGGCATGAGCTCATTTTACATTTTCTGCAACTTTATTGCCTTAATTTAATATTGAACTTATAAAACAGTTGCAAAGATAATACAAGAATGTCACCTATCCATTGCCCAAATTAATTTATTTATGTATAACCCTTGGCTTATCAACTTTCTTTATGTCTTCTCTATGTTTGAATAATATATATGGTATATTCATGATTTCTGTCCTATACTATTCTTCCCTTTAGTATATCAGGGCACATATTTTTTTAAAAAATAAGGACTTTTATTGCATAATAACAGTGTAATTACAAAAATATGGTAATTTAAAACTTTAAATTGATATACAACTATTATTTTCTACTCTGCTGCCCATATTTATGTTTTGTCAATTTCCCAATCTTGTCCTTTATAGAGTATTTTTCTCCTGGTTCAGAAACTAAATGTTGACTTTAGTTGTCATATAGTTTTACTTTCCTTTTAACTGAAATAACTGAACACCTTTTCTTTGTTTTATATAACCGTGATGTTTTGAAAAAATGCTTACATTCTTTTGTAAAATATACTTCAGAGTGAGTTTGCACAGTGCTTCCTCAATGCTAGATTTAGGTTGTATATTTTTTAACTTGCATATGCAAGTCTTTCTCAGTGCATCATATCGGACAAAAGCAAATATCAATTAATACAAATAAGTAATCTGAATTAGTCTTCCATTCAAGGCAATTAAAGATTCTTTAAAAGTGCCAAGTAAAAGAGATTGGAAATCCATTCTGAGTTATGTTGGTACAGTAATATATAAAGTATTAACACTGGAGGCCAGGATGTAGTAAGGGAAAGTGGCCTGTGCAAATATCCCAGATACATTTGGACACCTAGTGTTAATCACGATTTGTATACTTGAGTTGATTATGAAACATCTGGCCTAGTAGTAAAGCACAGTCCTGGGCATGTCTGTATGATGTTTGCAGGATTACTGGTGTGTAGGCTGGAAAACTGAATGGGAAGAGGTCCACCTTGGTAAGTGAGTGGCACTAAATAATAGGCTTCCAGCTTGGATCAGGGAGGTAAGGATAGTGGCTCACATTTTTGAAGAGCTCCACTCTGCTAGAGTTCATCTCTGATTGACATTACCTTGGGAAATTAGTTCTAAATTTCTTCAAACTTCCAACACAGACTTTACCAGTGAGTAGCCACTGAGCCTTCAGGCGTTTGAGCTCAGATGGGTGCTGTATACTTGATCCTTCTTATTTGCTGCTTCCATCTTCTTAGCTGAGCAGCTCCTGGATCCTCTGGCTCTGCAGCACCCAGACAGCCACTATAGACTCTCCCAATTCTGACCTTACAAACCTACCTAATAAGTCCTCTTGCACAATGAGGACATACATATATGTTATATTGACCTTGTTTCTCTGGAGAACCCTAACCAATGCCACTGAGAAGTGCAAATGTTCAGCAAATAGTACAAGACTTATAAGGTCTGAAACCAAAGGTTCAGTGCTCTTAATTCTTGATCCACCTTCCCAGTTACTGCTGAAAATCTGTAACTTTATAAAATATTCCTGATACACCACAAAAGGCACAAAGTGTCCAAAGAAGTAGGGCCAGAAGTATAATGGATAAAACTAAGTATTTACATATCATAATGAGATCCAGGTATCAGGGTTGTTGGATATAGTCTTTAACACTCATGATTATATGTAAATAGATATCAAAAAAGGAATTTTATCATGAAATTGGAATAAAGAGGCCAAAGAGCCTTAGCTAAAAAGTGCAATCTATTTCAACTACCATGCTACAACAGATGAAAGGATTTGTATTCCAACAATATAAATGTTCAAATTAGAATATGTTTGGAGAAATACGGGGAGTATAAAGGGGAAGGAAGTGTAAGTGTTACGGAAGGCCTGATGCAGGGGACGAATGTAGATGCTACTGTCAAAATGAAAACACAGAGGGAATAAGAACCAAGACTCATGGAACAAGTGCTGTCTGGAAAGATGTAAAAAGAATAATTCATAATAAATTATGGTAAGCAAGATATTTTAATCATAATATGCAGGGTAACTGTTTAATAGTGATAAACGAATTTCCATATAAATAAAAATAGAACTTGACAATAGAATCATAAAATAAATGACTTATCCAATAAAAGGTAAGAAGAAATAAAAGTGCTGTAATACATTTAAAAGTGATGACATTAAAATTATATATAAAAATAAAACAATAGTACTAAGACCTACATGGACTAAAGACTACAGTGAAAAATTTAAAATTATATGACCAGAAAAAAAATTACCAGTAAGAAAAACAGGAAGAAGTATAGTTCTGATTACAAATTATACCTTAATGCAAACTTAGATTACTGAAGTAGAATGGAAAAAGAAAGCTGTATCATAAAAATAATTTAAATAAAAGTTGCATATTTAAACACAAAATAAATATAAAATAGGCTAAACCAGATAAGACATCTTATATGCTTGAGTAGGATCATTTTATATTAATAAAACACCTTACAACTGGGAAGTATAATTCTAATTTGTATGCAACTCATATACTCAAATATTTAAAGCATAAATTGAGAGAGAGAGAAAGAAGGCAGAAGTACGGTTTATATTTTTTAGCATGCATATTGGCTTCCTCCCAAAGAGTACAGTATGGAAAAGAGAAAAATAGAGTACAACCAGAAAAATGTTAATAAATGTTACTCCGACCAGATGATCAAAGTAAATGTCAGTATTCCTAAGTCATAAAGACAGCATGTACTCTCTCCTTATATAGTAAAATGAAAAATGGTATGTATACCTCTATGAATTTTAGAAAATTATCAGACAAATTGCAATAGAAGATTATTCTGCAAAATACTTTATTTCTCAAAATTATTAAGATCATTCAAAACAATGAAGTCTGAAGAAACTCTTACACCCTAGAGAGGCTTCCAATCATGATTACTAAAAGTAATGTATGTGAGATGCAAATACATAAAAGTATCATACCAAAATTAAATACATCCTAATCAACTATGAACTTCCATTAATAATCATGCATCAGTAGTGGTTCATTAATGGTGAAAAACATACCACATTAAGGTAAGATATTGATAATAGGAAGATCAATATGGGTTATGTAAGAACTCTCTATACTATCTTAATATTATTTCTGTTGGTCTAAAATTGTTCTAACCAAGTTATAATGTTTACTATCTTAATATTATTTCTGTTGGTCTAAAATTGTTCTAACCAAAAGTTATAATGTATATTATATATAAATCTTTATTATATATATATATATGTCTACATATATGTTTTAGATATTAAAAATATATGCACTGAAAAGTTTCTTCCTAAATCAAAGGGTACTTCTTCCAGAGTATGATAATTCTAACTTATCCGTGTGTAAGTACATGATATAAGTAAACCTGAAGACTCACTACAATTTTCAAAAGTGTGAACCAGATTTGGTCAATATGTATGGCATACTATGATGAAAAGAAGTTGTTTTTCAGGAAAAAGTAAGGTTAGTTTTTCATCACAATTTGGACTGTTTCAAATGGAGTAAATTCTGATTGGAAACAAAACCATGTATAACATGCTTCAAAGAGTTGGTTTTTAAAAAATGGGTTGCAGCAACAAATTTCATTGTTCATCCCTGGGGATTCTATTTATAACATTATTTATATGACAACTTAATGGCGTTCTTTCATCATAAAGCCTACCTAATTTAAAATTAATTGGGTCATAAAACAAAATACAAACCAAAGGGAAAAGCTTTTTATATTTAGGGGTGAAATTATTTTAACTAAGTGTTGTTAGAGAAAATTGTTGGCTGTAGAAAGTTCAAGAACAGTTTGAAACAAGACCTTTTTGTGACATTTATAAAATATAAATGTTACATAGAATTCAGTGAAAATTTAATGGAGATATGTAGAATTGCTTCAAAGATTAACTTGCATTACTTTGAATAATAAGTAATACTTATGATCTTTAGCTGATGTAATGCATGTTGCTCTATATTCCTTAATTTTTGACTTTCATTCACTCTAAAGATAAAATATGCATGCAGCTATTATTAATATATAACTACTACAAAAGCTGTTTTTCTACATAAAAATATCAACGATCTTATTTATTAACAACTTAAAGTAAAATAAAATTGGCTCCAGGAT